TGCAAGCTGGGAGAGACATACCGCAGTTCATTTCCTCATATTCCAAACGAGAAATTACGGTAGCAAATCACCCGGTTCTTTACGACCAGTAACTATTTACCGGGATACAACCCGGAGGAACCAGGCATGGAGGGAGGTGGCAGAGACAGTGGGTGAAACTGGTAGGTTTTCGCCTGTTTGGGGATTTTATATCCAGTTTACTTCGTTTTAACATTGCTATTGCTTTGTATGTCGGGGGCGGGAGATTCATGTGATTGGTTGTTGGTCGCGTTGCTCGCAAAAAATTCCCAAGCTCTCAGACACGCCCACCTCCAAGATTTTCTTAAAGCTGCTGTGTGGACGTACCGTCATAGAGGTGGCAAGCATATGCAAAAATGGCTTTTAATGTGTCCTTCTCCTCACCTGTTCCAGACTTTGACGGTGTCCCCGGAGGCCGAGAGGACGGCCAGGTTGTCGGAGCTGAAGGCCAGCGTGCGGACGTCGGTGCGGTGTCCGCCCAGTGTGAGGCGGGACGTCTTATTGGCTGTGGGCGTCTTGTCAGAAGTCTTCAGGCTGTACGTCTCCACCGTGTTGTTCTGCAGCAGCAGCGCCACCTTCAGCTCGCCTCCCACACAGGACAGGCAGTCCACCCATCTGAGGATAAATATAGGAGACGTGTGAGGAGGAGGGGGGGAATTAAAAAGGTCACAAGCTCTAACCAAGAGGTCATGATAACTCTGTTTTTATCGTCAATGACTGAATAATGACTAGATTTACTTTATTAATAACACATTGGAAAAAGTAACCAGTTAATATGTACATATCAACAGTAGAAAGATGTAAGTTTAAGAGTGTTTATAGAATAAAGCATATCAAATCTATAGAATAAGTTAAAACACACTAAAGAAGCCCAACGTACTATTAGACAATTGTTATATTGGATTATGATAGAAATGGTAAAACTCTGTGCGTCTGAATGACAGTGAGAAAGACTCTCTCTCAGCTGCTGTCTGTTTACGCTCCTCCTCACTGACCTGATCTTGGCGGACGCCTTGATTTTGGTCAGTCTGAGGATCTCGTCCGTCAGCGTCCTCTCCACCAACGGCACCGCTGCCTCCTCCTCCTCTGCTGCTGCTGCTTCCCCCTGAGCTCTGCAGCAGGGACACACACACACCAAACATCAGCAGGCAACTCTCTCACACACACACACACACACACACACACACACACACACACACACACACACACACACACACACACACACACACACACACACACACACACACACACACAACTTGTCTTTACTTTGCCGCCTTCTTTTTGGCTTTCTTCGTCTTTTTGGTCATTTTCTTCTGCACTTCCTCCTCTGACAGCACAGTGAAGATCTCCAGGACTGAGTCATTGCCCTGATGGAGGACAGAGAAATGTTGAGCATTATTTACATACAAAAAACGAATATTGATCATGCATTTCAATGTCAGAAATTCTGCTGAACACAAAAGTCCTTTAATTGCATAAAACACTAACCAACTAAGTGAAATATCTCTATCTCCAGATTAGAGACCTGAGACATTAACCATCTCCATCAAACCAACAGAGACAATAACCACAATGCCTCACTTTGCCTGGAAGTCACTTTTTGTCTGTATTCACTTTGTATGTTGAAAAGGCTTTAGGCACACATATTTCATGATTCTTGAAGAAGCCCTGAGATACTCTCCACTTTGTATTTAAAAAATGTTACAATTTCTCAGTGGGGTCAG